GCCAATGTTTTTGTCAAGGAAATGCGATTTCACGACGCTGGAATTAGGGCATACGCCCCGCCGTCGCACGTCAGCGATGGGAATATATATTCAGTCGGCGGACTATCCGTGTTGCGTATGTAGTATGCATGAGGCGCGGGGCACTGGCGGCGGCGGCTCCGTAGGGTAGGCCCCGCCAGGGCCGCCTGCAGCCCTTGACGGCGGGTCATGCCTCACGGCGACCTCCTTTTGAGGGCTGACCGTGCCGCGGCGCCCCCCGCGCCCGCGCCGTGCCCTACTTCCAGACGGGGGCTGTAGAACAACAACAACAACAACAACAACTGACCGCTACGTTTGTAATGAGAACCCAATTTGACCGTCGTACGGCAAACACTACTAGTTGCGTGCCTTGGAGGGGGCGTATACGGCGCATACGAATGGGAAGGAGGAGGAGGGGAAGCCCGACGAGCACAACCCCTTCTTGGCGCGCGCGGGGCGCGGGGAGAAGGAATTCCTGCACCTCCTCGCGTCTCACACGAATGCCGCGTCGACCATACGAGAGAGTTATAGATGCTAACGCGCGACAGTATCGACCGCGCACATCGAGCGTGAGGCGGGCGGGCACGCCGGCCGCACGGGACCGGCGCGTGCCCAAGAGCGTTCAACTTTACAACACGTGCGCGTGTGTGGCGGTAACCTACACTGTAAAGCCGGGGTGTCCAGCAGGTAGGCGACGAAGTCGCCTGACCCGCAAAACTAGGCGACTTATGTCGGCTTTCAGCTGAACACCCCGGATTCTCAGTGTAAAAGGTTTGGCAGGTGAATCGATGGCTTTCGTTCTAATGACTACTCGAGGCGACGACACAGGCTGGTGAGAGGGGTGGGTGTGGGTGGTGCGTTGTACTTATTTGTGAATGGGCACAGTGGGTTGGATCGATGCACTAACACTGGCCGTATGGTACCCGCGGGCGCGGCGCGAGATTGTCCGGCCATGACATCACGCGATATTGACCAACATAGCATTCTGGCATTGTAAAATGAAATAAAAAAAATGTGCGAGAGGTTTTTAAAAACTTTGTAGGTCTTGATCACCTGGCTACGCCGCGCCACCTACACGCGCGCGCCCTGTGGGCGATATCAGCTGCGGGCGCGCATACATCAACTGTCACACCTGCGCCTGCCTGCGCGGACACTGGCGGTGACGTGGTCGCCGCCCCCACCCCCCACCCACAGCAAGCCCACAAGCCCCACCTGGCGGACTCCATGCTGTCCAGCGTGAGGAGGTCGACGAGGGCGGGCGCGTGGGCGGGCACCTGCCGCAGCGGGTACTCGAAGGGCGGAGAGTCGGGGCCCGGCCAGACGGGGGGCGGCGGACCCGGGCTCACCCGGGAGGACTTGCGCCGGCCCCCGAGCCCGCCCCCGCCGGGCCCGCCGCGCCTGCCCAGCCAGCAGCAGCACGCCCCGCCGTCGGCCTCGGCCTCGTCCAGGACCGCGACGGCGGGGCCGGCGGCGGCCGAGCGCCTGCCCAGGTTGTTGTTGGAGTCGTCGTCATCCTGCTTGCTGGCACCACGCACCAGTTTGAACACCATGGGTCACATGGCGCCCCCGCGCCCGGGCCACGACTGACGACTGGTTCAGTGTCTCCTCCACAACATCCACCACCTGCGGTGCCGAGGTCACCGGGAAAGTCCGAAGCACGACGCCGACCACTCGCCACGCGAAGGTCAAGGGTTCCCGTCGAGGAGCTCACGGACGCATGCACACACACACACGCGCGGTGGCAGGGGCCCGCGATGTCGGCGCGCGCGCTGTGCGGTCGGTCGCGGTGCGTTCGACCCGCTCCACTGGGCGTCCAATACAAAGATAGGACCGGCGGCGGACGGACACACCCGGCGCAACGCCTGCCTGCGGCGCCTCGACCACCCGCTGGAGGCGCTGCTGGCACTGGTGGCGCCCTCCCCCAACGCGGCGGCGAGCGCAACTGGGACTGGACGCGGCCGCGCGGCGCACCGCGGCCGGCAACCCCGCGACCACCGCCGCGCCCCCACCCTTTCCGGTCCGTCCGCGCACCCCTCCCGCGCCCGCCCCCTTTGACGCCCCCCTTGGCCGCCCCTTGGCCACCCCGACCGCCTCCGCCTCGGACCGATAACAAAGTCGGGGTGGAATTAGTTGGCTCGGCGGTATGACAGGCAGGCGCGTTACTGCCCCCTCTCCTCCCCTCCCACAGCCTTGGGCGGGCTGGGGGCGCTCTGCTCGGGCCGGCCGCCAGGCCACGTCTGGGGAAACCTCTCTGTGGTTCTAATTTCCTGCCCCGAGGTGGTCAATAAAGGTCAGCTGATGGGATGAAACGGCGCCATAAAGCTGCTCGTTATTGCGGCCGGGTTCCACAACAGATCCTCCCCCGGCAGGGCGGGGCCGTCTTGCTTGTGGAGGGTGATGGAGTGCTGGAGGCGTATTTCCCGCTGACTTGACTTCCCACTAGAAATCCCAGTGCTGCGCAATACGTTTTGACAAGTCGTTTTTGCACCCGCTTCCTCTTTCGCTCCCACTCCTACCCCTTCTCTATCTCTCCCACTCCGGCACAACCGGGCGGCGGCCGTGACCTTGGGCCTTGGGGTTGATAAATGATGTCCCCGTAGTGACTTTGGCCGGAACGCATAAAGGGTGTCGGGGCCCGGCGGCGCGGCGCCTCGCCCGAGTAAGTGTTATTCGGCCATAAAAGGGCTTTCTTGTCCGCGGCAAGAATGGCCCTGCAGGATGGGGAACCATGCCAACCGGCGGGGACAGATTTGGGCGAATGACGCGTTAACGCCGGCCACGCCGGCGTTGGGCGGGCGGCTGCGGCCTCCGGGATGGGGTGGCGGGCGGGGTCGCTGAGCGGCGCCCTGCTCGGCGGCGGCCGACCCGCGGCACCCGGGGGCGCTGGGGTGCCCGACGACGAGCCCCTGGTCCGCTGGGCGGCCCGGAGCGCCGCGGCGCGCCTCGTGCACGGGGAGTGCTTCCCGGCGACCAGAGCACGCGGCCAGCTCGACGCCCAGGCCGTGCTCGTGCTCAGCGGCATGCAGGTCGCCCACCTCGCCAGGAACCTGGGCGCGCGCGCGGCGCAGATCGGAGAGAGGTACTGTGTACGCTTTGTTCGGGAGGGACCTCAACGCCCGGGCCCGGGTGCGTCCGAGGTGGGGATGGTCGTGTGCGTGCGACAGGTGCGCGGCCGAGGGCGGCTTGACGGACACCCTGGGCAGCGCGGCCCGCTGGGTCACGGCCCGCGCGGGCGAGGCCGCGGGCGAGGCCTGGGCGGCGCTGCGGAGGCAGCAGCACCTGTTCCAGCAGGGCGAGCCCCTGGAACCGCCCCGGGCGGCCACCTCCCCGCTCATGGCGCACGTCGTCAGGCAGATCCACGCTCTCCGAGCCACGATCCGGGAGCACCGGGGCCCCGGGGCCGCCGCGACCACCTGCCCGTCGTCCGGAGTGAGTGCCACCCCTCGACAAACGGGTCGTCTGTGAGCGGCCGATCCGAGTCCGAACAGAAGGACTCTACCATGTGCTGTGCGCCCCCAGGTCGCGGCGGTTGCGCCCACCCGTCCTAGCCAGCACGGCTGCAGCGCCTTCTTCAAAATGAACGCTTTCGCAGAGTGACGCGATGTGACACTTTGCGCGCAACTGCCGCTAAACACCGAAACGACCGCGGCGAAGGCTGCTCGCTCCGACCACCCACACACCCTCTCTCTTCACAGCCCTATTTCGGAGAAATTAGTGGGTGCTCTTGATGACCGACGCATCGACCTGAAACATGACATGACGACGTGCACGCATTTGCCCAACCCCGTCCCGTAATGACCCTCATCCCTCATGTATGTAACCAC